GGGAAAGGAAAGAAGGGAAAGGAAAATTATGAGAAATGGAAAAAATGGAAATAAAGTCTTTGTAAATAGGGAAGGGTGGAGGGTGTGAAGGGAGGGCTAGGAATGGGAAAAAAATAAGAACCAAGCTGCATCATGTAAAGGTAAAAGTTGCCAATGTGTTGTATACCTAAAATGTACCAAAAAAAGAGAAAGGAGTGGACTTTAGCATCCATGTGCCCTGAGGCTCACGCACAGGCTGCTCCAGGTGGAATGTCCTTAGAAGTAGGGAGGGACATGGAGAGCTCCAAGGGGGTGGAGCCAGAGCTACACTGTCAGTGACCAAAGTACACCCAGTGCCAAGACGGCCACTGCAGCAAGCTCCGGGCTGGTCTTTCTTTTGCTGTCCTAGAATTTGGGTCATGGTCAGTGGTGGTCACTAACTGGGCTTCTTTCCAGTCCATTGTAGGTTTCTACCCTCACTCTGGGAGGGGGAGATTTGAATGGTCACTCAGTCAACCAGTGTGGTGACCCAAACACTTGGAACACATGTAAAGCCATTCAAATAAAATGGGGCTTCCCTGGGAACAGCTTTAACTTGGGGTTTGTGTCCCAAAGTGGGACTGAGTGGGATCAAAAGGCGTAAGTCTAGGTAAGAGCAGAGCTCACCAGCAGGTTTTTTGTGCCCTTCTCAGGAAGCCATGGAGTTTTATCTTGATGTTCTGCTGTCGGTTTCCCAGCCCCAACTCATTTCTGTATATATACTCTATCAAATCCATGTCCTTGCAGGAAAATTGAAGGGAGTTAGAGACCACCATGCTAAGGGAAATAAACCAGACATAGTACGTTAAATATTACACATCTTCTATGAGCAATCTGATGTAGACAGACAGCCAGAGAGAGAGGGAGAGAGAGAGGACAATAAAGTAGAAAGTACACTATTTGCTATGAGGAAGGGGACTGGGGAAAGTGGAAGGAGAGATGGGTAGTGGGGACAAAGTAATAAAAATATGTCATGTGCACCTGCCACTATTCCAAAATGAATCTCACTGTT